GACTCATAATGTAAAATCAAAAACCTCTTGCACTGCGGTAATGCATGTACCTGGTGTGGATTCTCCTGTTAAAAAGCAATCTGCATTTGTTTCATTTCTTGATATTTACTACAGCATCAAATAAAAATTAAAGGTACCGTATGTATTTGACTGTATGAATGTGCTTGTTCACGTTGAGGAATATATGGCATGCTTTTGACGCCATTGTTCATCGAGGGGTGGGGAATGGGGTCAACTGTTAGCTGTAAAACGGCTAAATGATCAATCAATCAATTAATCAATCAATTAAGTTTATTGTCTTTACGTGAGGCATGGTTACCCAGATTGCCCGAGCCAGGAGCTCATGTATGAAACGCAAGACAACAACCCACCCATCCCACCCCAGGGGAGGACATCCACCACACAGTAATCTCGTGCGTGGGAAATTAACGTCTCCTACCCCTAACCCTGCAAGAGACGGGGCCTCCATTCATTCGTCCCTATCCGAGAATTATTTAGTCGTGAGGGGTAAAAGTTGATAAATTTTAAAGATTATTCGTATAGAAAGTTGCCCGAAAAAAAGAAAGTTTCCTGTGACAACAATGGAAAGCTATGTGGCCGTAAATTGGCCAAAATTTCAACCTTTAGCCGTACATCCATCTCCCGATCGAGACCCTCTTTCTCACTTTAACGAGATTTCATGATTGCTTCAGTTTACCCAAACAGCATACTGAAAAGGTTCTACGGTCGTCACACTGGGGAATAAGTACTGAAATGCTATTTTGAAACAACAAAACGATCAAACGTACCACGATTTGAAAGGAGTATGCGTTTTTTCTTTTTTAAATAGAATTTTGTCGTCAAATTATCAAGCAACATATTATTCAGAATATTTTGTGAAGTGCCAATCGTCAGACCCTTTTTTTTTTCATCATATGGCTCTAAGTGGGAGTGGTGAAAGCATCCGATTATTTCCCCTCTTGTTTACATTCAGACCAAAGTGTGCATCGTATGCTAAAAATACAGCTAAAACGACAAACCACTTCTGAAAATAAGCACTCAATTTAATTTCCCCCAGGGCAACGAGAATCCGTATGAGAAGCTGTACTTTATTAATTCACTTATTGCCAAATGGCTATCTTGAAATATTATATCATTAGGTACCGTATTTCCTCGGATAAGAGCTCGGGCGCATATTCCAAATTTCAGATAAAAGGAGAGGCGATTGTTGGAAGGAGGGCGCTTAATCGAGGGGGGGTGGGGGAGGCGCTTATGGAAGAAGGTGCTTATTCCAGGGGGAGGAGGCGCTCACTTTATAAGGCTCTTGTACTGATTCCGCTGTAGTCGAAGCTTTAAAATTTATAAATAAAGTGGCAATAGAAACAGGTTTTCCTTTTATCCTTACTAACTAAGAAAGTGAGAGAGGGAGCGCTTGTTCGAAAAAGGCGCCTGTTTGAAATTATGGCCTAGGCGGTGGGCGCCTATTCGGCGGAGGGTGTTTGTTAGAGCGTGAATGCTCATGGAAAAAAAAAAAAA